ACAGCTCCGACATGTCCGTCATCGACGACGTGTCCCACTCGCTGATGTGCCCGTACTTGGCTTCCGCGCTCCAAGCGTCGTCGATCCACCCGTTGACCGCGATCTTGAGCTCGTTCAGGTCCGTCGGAGAGAACGTCGCGTCGATGCCGTCGCACGCGAAGCCGGTCGGGCACTCGAGGCACTCGTTGTTCTCGTCGACGTACTTGTTGACGTCATCGCACACGGCGTTGACGCCGTCGCACTTCGCGCTAGCCGGGCACTCGAGGCACTCGTTGTTGTCGACGTACTTGTTGACGGCGCACGTCTTGGTGACGCCGTCGCACGTGTAGCCGTTCGGGCACTCGCTGCAGCCGTCGAAGTACTCGTCCGCAGCGCACGTAAAAGCCATCGGCGCGGCCGTGGGGGTCGCCGTGGGCGCCGTCATGGGCGATGCCGTGGGGTCGACCGTCGGCGCGGGCGTCGGGGCCTCGAGCTTGGCCTCGAGCTCGGCCACCTTGCCCTCGAGCGCGGCGTTCGCGGCCTCGAGCTCGGCGATCACCTCCGCCCAGGTCGGGCAGGCGTCGCACGCCACGGGGCAGGCGTCGCTGGCCAAGACCTTGGACTTGGACTCCTTGTCGCAGCGCTTCGCGGGCGACTTGCCGACCCACGCGCAGGACTTCGACTTCTTCCAGCCCTGGTGCCACGTCGTCGAGTCCGCGCACGACGGCCCCTCGAGCGCGGCCTTCTCCTCCGCGCAGGTCTGCTTCTCCTCCGCGCAGGTCTGCTTCTCCTCCGCGCAGGTCTGCTTCTCCTCCGCGAGAGTCTCCTCCAGGTCCTGGTGATTGCTTATCCAGGGGGGCTAGGGGGGTACCTAGGCGAACCGAGCTAGCTGAGCTAACCGTCGCAGCGTAGGTTGGTCTTGGAGGAGCACATCAGGGGTGCAGTATTCGCGTCCGAATTTTCGACGAGCGGCAGAGCTAGTAGTTTTTGTTTTTTTTTCAAGTCGCTGCACATCCGCTCGTCGTCACTTTCCTTCTCGATTTTGCTTTCCTTCTCACTCTCCTTTTTCCCTTTCTTTTTCTTCTTCTTCTTTCCCGAAACATTCAAGTTGCTCTTCAAGTTGACGAAGGCCTGGAGCTGCGCGCAGACGCCGTCACTGAGCATAGCGAAGTCGACCGTGTGTTTGCCTTTGCTGAGCACGCGCGACGACCCGTAGATGATGTGCACGACCTCCATGGTGCTTCCAACGCACTCGGGCAACCCCGCGACCGCGTCGGCCAGGGCGTAGCGCATCTCGAAGGACCAGGACGCCGTCGGGTTCACCTTGCCGGAACAATCAATCACCAGGTTCACCTCGTCGCGGTAGTAGGCGAAGCTGCCGCTCGCCGTCGCGTTCGCCTCGCCGCCGTCGTCGTCGCAGTTGCCGCTGTCCAAGTGGCCGCTGTCGTCGCCGTAGGCCAGGGCCGCGCCCACACCGCCGTCGGCGCTGCAGTCATCCACCGTCGTCGCCGTCGCCGCCGTCGCCGTCGCGTACGCCTCGCCGCCCTCGCCGCAGTTGCCGCTGTCCAGGTGGCCGCCCTCGTCCGTCTCCTCGACCGCGACCATGTTGACTTTGTCCTCGGCGGAGAGCTTGCCCGTGCAGAGCTTGTCCGTGTTTTGGGTTTTTAGTTCGCTGCACATCACGGGGTCGTCCTCGTTCTCGTCCGTCGTCTTCGTCGTCATCGTCGTAGCCGTCGTCGTCATCGCCTCCTCGTACGTCTCCTCGACCGCGACCATGTTGACTTCGTCCTCGGCGGAGAGCTTGCCCGTGCAGAGCTTGTCGGTGTTTTGGGTTTTTAGTTCGCTGCACATCACGGGATCGTCCTCGTTCTCGTCCGTCGTCATCATCGTCGTCGTCGTCGTCGCCTCGACCCGCGACAGCCGTCCG